TTTCCAAAAATGCTTTTATATTTATTGCAAAAAAAATTCTGTCACAGGCACTTTAAACACTAAATGGACTCAGCCAGTTTACAGATACTGACCTAAACTTTGATGTGATAATAGATGAGACTGTTTAACATCACATAATCTGAGCAACAACAGATCGTGACAAATCTTTGTTTACAATTTTGCCATTAACTATTTTGGGGTCATTTTTGTCTATAAGCAAAATATATTGAGAACCACTGGATAAAACCTAATTAAACTATCAGAAAGTAATCATCAGTTGTACCTTAAACTGTAAGGTGGCCCAAACTATTCCTTTAAGAAATACTGGCATTTTGACTCTGACCATTTAAAATATAAAGAATTTATGATAAAAAAGACAAATACTCACTTTTGCCTTTAAAATCTTGTGGGAAACTGTTGAGGGGAAAGTACATGTCATTCAAACATTACATCAGAGAGGAAATAATGACTTTTGTAAGACAGCTGAAGAACAGCAGGAAATGTTGGATGTTTTTTTTTACCTGGATTTAACATCTTTGATTCGTTTTATGAAGGCCTCCCTCCTCTCCTTWGCCTTCTTGCTCAGAGTTTCTCCCTTTAACCCATCAGAGAGGAAATTCTCCAAATCTGAAACCAAACAAGAAAAAAAAAAAAAACGCAACAACGTGACAGAGACACCACAAGAAGAAGTTTGGACATTTAACCTCCACCTTGGACGAGTTCAGATCCAGGTTCAGGTGAGGGAAATATCTATTTAATAGGACTAATTCTCAGAGATGCGTTGTTGAACTCCAGTTTATGCTTCCTCTTTTTCACTTTACGTCACCTCTAAACAGAACAAGGCGTTAAAGGTAGATAAAAGTGCAAGAAAACATGGTTTTTAGTGTTTACCTGACAGGAGCGCAGTTAACTCCTCTGGAATCGCTCGCATGGTCACCAGAGATTAGACGGAGCCCGACGCGTCCCAGCAGACTTTCAGCAGCACGCGGAAGAAGCAGCAGCTGTTTTTTTTCTTTTTTCTTTTTTTTTACGGAAGTCCTTTCTGCTAAATATTTCTCAGTGACCACACAGTTCCGCAGCAGGACCAGCACCAGTTTCACTCCTGTTGAAACTGACAGAGAGGAAGCTGCTCTTTATGGGTCTTTACGGAATATTAATGTCTTTTTTTTTCCTTTTTTTTGATTGATTACAGGT